AGCCATTTTTCCGGTACATTTAAAAGCCAGACGAAGGCTGGCAGCGAAGCTGCTAATTGAGAATAAACTTCGACGTGCTTCTTATTCTTGTAAATCCAAATGTTATTCTCATTAACATGTTTTGCACTTTAACCTTTTACGGCACGCTATCTTTTAAAGTCGGAATTTTGATTAAAAAAAAAAGGTAGGCACTCTAATTAGGCCTAGAGGAGTACGCAAGTAAAATTTTGTGAAGATAGCACTTACCTTTTAATTCTGTGGGTGTGCCCAAAACTGGGCACACTGATTGTTTTGTGGCGTATTTAATTATGGCAAAGCACACTAGGGCTATCTGCCTAAGGGGAGGGATGTCTTCGTGGAGTACTTTCTAAGGGAAACTGGCTCGTATACACGTTATACATGGGGAAAACCACGAAAACACCGATGCAGCCAGCCCGTTCGCGGGATTCGAACCTCGGACGGACTACCAGTGTTCAGCGACTTTACCGCTCGGCCGCTGGTGGGCTGGGCACACTGATTGAATAGAGCTTCGAAAAGAGTGCTGAAACGAGCATTGTTGTCAATGAACTGACGGATGAGATGCGGAGAAACAAAGAATACAGACTCTTAGTTGTCCTAGATTATCGGTGAGCCCGGTCTGGGCACACCTAGGGTTCGCCGTTTGATTTTAGCAATATTTCAAGGTAAAAATTTAAAACTAATATAGAATAAGAAGATTAGCATACAGCTAAAAACATAACATAGAAATTGTTTTTCAAACAATTCCTTTTATACCCTACTAAAATCTGGAAGATTTCTTTGAAAAATGAGGGTCTTAAAAAACTAAACATGGCTAAAATATATGAAATGGTTTGTGTTGAGCTGCCATATACTTTAAATAAAGAAGGTCAGAGTAACCTATAAATCTTTCTTCATTCAATTTTTCTGTGCATACAGAAGGAAGTTTTTAGGTGTTTCCAGACCGGACACACTGTGCCGCATTGGGTTCATTTACATTAATTTAAAATTTCGCCTTTTAATTTTTCATTACCTTGAATTACATTTAAATTCAAGGATTCATACATTTTGCGAAAACATGTATTCCAAATGATGTTCTGAATTTTTTACGTGCGAAATTCTCTATTTTTCTAGACGTTTGTCCATTTGCAAAACTGTTTACAAAGATAACTTCAATTAAAAGTGATCACTATTTTGTAATAAAGCTATATTTCAGGATGCATTTTAAAATATGAACAGAACAAAATGTATTCTGCAGTTATTGCATTCGATTTCCTAGACCGCGTTTCGCTTGAACAGAAACTGGCTGGCATTGCTGTTAACTGAGAAGATAACATCGATCACTTTGCTAAAAGAACGATTCAAAATGCATATTTAGTTTTTCTTCATTTTTTGCTGTGATAAATATGAATGCTTGTATTGGAAACATGATCTATTTTGTGGCAAGAAGCATGCGTTCATGTTCTTCATCTCTCACCATGACGTCCTGATTTTATTCTCTTTACTTCCTGCTGTGAAAAAATATCAAGATCGCAGTTGCAAATTCTGGATCGTTTGATTTTAAAGCTAAAATTTGTCTGGACGATATTTTATCATTATTTCTGTCTCTTTTTGCATACAGAAAGCATTCTAAAATGCAGATCTGTATCTCCATGGAATTGAAGCTTTTGGAAACAGGATTCTTATTCTAGTTTATTCATTTAAATATGTCAAAGATATCTTTAAGGACACTTTATATCTATATATTTTATTGTATTCGTTTAACCTATTTTTAGATCTATAGATGGAAAGTTAAAGAAAAGCGTTCGCTTCCTAGAATTTCTTGAAACTTTTCTCAGCTATTTTTCTGCAGTTCGAAATAAATAAAACAAGTATTTGGTTTCATATAATATCCCAAATAAAAGTACACTCGGAATGAATTTCAGTACAGTACTGCTTTGCTAGTGTGCACATAATGAGAACGGGCACCTTAAATGTAGTCTCAAAATCTGTTAGAACTTCTCGCTTGCCTTTTCTAGGCACAGATTAGTTTATTTAGCACCATAAGACACACGGTTTATTATTGTTATGTGTAGCTGCCTTGATGAGTGGTGTAAAGTCTTGACAAATATTAAAGAAGGCATAGTTTACAACAGAAATGGTTTAGTTCAGTGTTAACAATATCTTCTTTATGTACCGTAGACGAAAAAAGACGTATTCATTAACAGTAACACATTCATTTCCTACTGTTCTATTTCCTTTAAAGTAATAAAACGCAGCTACGAAAAACGGTATGGCGTTAATAGTATCTACACAAATAAAATTAACATGCTTTATACTTTAGTTTTGGTCTATTTTTATCTGAGACACATCGTAAATACATTTCCTACCTTTTTTTCTTTAAATGTTTTATCTGAGAAAATTATCTTTAAAATTTTTATCTTATCTTTAACGTTTTATGTTTTGCGATTTTGCGTTGAATCACTGTAAATGTCCGTCTCACTTTTCAAACTGTTGCCAGCAAAAGTTAGAGTCTTGCATTATGTTTGAAGAAATTAAATAATGAAAAATCTGCATAAATGTATGTCAATTTCTCGCATAGTGATAAAACAAAAATACCTAGAGCCATCGAATTTTGAATGATGTAATCCTCCTACGAATATGGGCATGTGGAAGACCAAATTTGAAATTTGGAATTATTTTATTATCGATTTCATATTTTGTAAAACTTTAACGAATTTTTGAGTAACAGCAACAGTCTACAGGGGAAAAAATCCTTTTTATCTCCAGTGCGCGGAACTGTGTATCGGAAATTCTAAAGATAGGCTCATTTTAAAATTATTTTGCGACATTGCTATTGAACTGAATTTTATGGTTTAAGTGGAAAGAACATGATATTTAATAAATAAAGGTAACACACAAAACGTTAAAAAAACATGCCTTTGGAAGTAATTTAAAATCTGAAACCTTTCAGATTTTTATCTTTTTTTTTTTTTTTTTTTTTTTTTTCCTGATTTAAGCAGTCTTGTAAATTCTGCTAGAACTTAACATCAGTAGATTTCTTCACAAAGGAAAAATTCACTTATTTTGCTATTGTTAAACTTCAGACTTTCCATACTTTATGCTAGAACTTAGAATGCGTTTTTTTTTTCCGCCAAGCTGATAGGAAAGAAAAAATAGTTAACCGTAGTTTCCCCATTAGTATTTAAGCTGATGGCTTAACTGACTGCACCACTTTACATTTGGTTCTATGGCCTTAGGGCGGCTTTTCCATTTCTGCTGACCGACTCTGCAATTGGTTGACCCATGCTCCGTTACAAATGCAATGTAGTCTAATTTCGGTAATTCATCAGTTCGCTGCTTCCTTCCTCAATTTAGCTGATTTGTTCAGTCGATTGCTAACCTAAAACGATTTCAAAACCGTAAAAAACAACCTTATATTTAGCGTAGGTATAATGAAACACTCAATATAAGGTTGCTAAATATACACTAAATATAAGATTGCTAAATAAATATAAGGTTGTTTTTTACGGTTTTGATTGTCACATTAGCGTGTTTCTCTTCTAGTCTAAAACGATTTCTTGATGATTGAATATAAAGTTGTGGTTTATTGTAGATTTTCTTTCGGCTATTTAGCAAGGTTACCGTTTTAAAAAATCCTAATTTAAGTAATTAGTGATTTTTTTATCTGAGAAAAATTATCGTTAAAATTTTCATCTTATCTTTAGTTATAATCCAGTCTTTAGTTGAAAATACTTTCATACTTGATATTATCGTATCGGCATCTTCATGCAGATCAACCAGGGTTCATAAAGATCTCCCTGAACAAATGTGACCAAATTCTTATAAAGCTCACTTCTCAGTTTGAAGAAAGTAATTTTAAAAGTATCAAAGCTACCTTAAAAAAGGCGCTTTTATAAAAATAAAATTTTGTTTTGCTATTTTGATTAACATGACAAACATAAATCCTGTTTGCTTAAGTGTGCCAGCATGAAATTCAGGGTTAAGAGGCATGTTTTATAAATTAAAAAACTGGCTTTCCCGAAGGTACTGGTACTTTTATAATGACAGAGGGCATCCTTGTGGCAAATTTACGAGAAGTATGCAATGATCTCACACCTGAGTTTTAGATGACATAATTAAGGAAAAGTAATGGTAATATGTTGATTTGTTTCAACAAAAGCTTACTATGTTAGTTTTCAAATCAAGGAGGCAAAATCGTTATTTTCATACCAGTTCTGAAAAACAGAATTTGGCTGTGTTAAATTGGAACTAAGCTTATAAGCTTGTGTTTGCTTATGTTAAATGTTAGGCCTACTTTCGAATTCGCATGATATTTTACAAATAATCCAATAATCTGTGTAATTTTACATTTGTGTCATAAATACTAAATTTGTCAGCCAAAATTTAGGATTAGAACATCTTAGCCTGTGGCTTATCTCTTAATTACTGAAATAATTTTTACATCACGCTAGCCGCTTCGTAATTTAAGAAGTGATTGATTATTGGATAAATCAAGCAACAAGAATCAGCGTTATATTTGTAAATTTGACAAGACTAGTTCCGACGGTAACTACAGAACCAGCTTCCTCAGCTGCCAAAGTGCAAATGAGCAAGGTCAGTAGGATAAGAATGGCTGGGCAGTAGTTAAGCTACTGGCGCCATCTATTGATGAAACAAGAAAATTAAAACATAATTTTCTTAAAAGTTGAAGGTAAAGATGGATTGGAATTAGAGTTGTTAACTAGAACAGAGAGAATTTTTTTAATGTGAAACGCTTCTAGAACGTCTAATTCACTAGTGGAATAATCTTGCAAAATTTACAAATATAATGCTGATTCTTGCGTTGTTTGTTTTCTCCAATACCTAGATGATTGATATTTTATATCTTACTTTGCTGTTTAAAAGAAAAATTTCATTAAAAAAGTAATAGTAGAAATAGAGTAGATGAGAAAGTTAGTAGATGGGAAAAATAGTGCTCCTAGAGAGAAACTTTCCTCTCTCTTCACGAATAAAAACCTTACCTGAGTAGAAATCTGCTGAGCTCCTTCTGGTAGAAAATGTTTCTGTATTAAATTTGGAGCCAAAAGATGTCTGAAAAGAAAAGTAAAAGTTTGTTATAAAACGTATGATTCAATGATATATGAAGAAGTAATATTTATGATTGAGAACTGTTGCAGACTATCAAATGTTGATAATGCATCATTACTGGATCAATAAATATTGAAACAAATCTTAAAAATTTTTTTACGAAATTCGAAGTTTAACTCCTCCTTCCCAAAATATTTTACTTACTTACATATGCACCTAACTTTATTTTTAAATTGATGTAAATTTGATTTTTGATTATGTTTTTATATTTCGAATTAAAAATCAATATACAAACAGAATTAGACTTCCTTTTTTTCTCACATTAAAATTGCTTAACCTATTGAATATTCATAAATGAGAAAAGGAAGGGGAAATAATTTAATTTTTGATTTGTTTTGTTGCTTTGCATCGTATGTTATCCAAAACTGTTTGATGAACTGTTTGATGAAACAGTTTTGAAAACTATACAGTTTTCTCCAGAGAAAATAATATAATTATAGGATAAAAGTGCAGGATCATAAAATATCAATAAAAGGAGTTTTTCTCTTGAATTATGATAGAACAAATGTATCAAGTTATAAGAAATTATTTTGGTCTTTAACAAAAGAGATTCGTTAAGTGAAGCAGATTCGTTAAGTGTTATACAGATTGACTGTTTAACAGAAGTTTAATTATTCAAAAGTTTTGTAATTAAATGTTAATACTTTCATAAATTTTTTTAAATCTTATATTCTGAAAAAAATTTAGTTAAGAATTATAGCACGCGTATGAATAAATCCTTCGAAGAATTTGGAGATAAAAGAATAAAGTTGTAATTTTTATTATCATCTTATTGCAATTATATTTACATTCTGTTTCATTAGCTTCTTTCTTAAAGGGAGAAGAAAAACTAAGCGGTCTTTTTCTTAAGCTGTTTTCCCTAATCCTTAAATGGTATTCGTTAATCATCAGCCGAAACAGAAGTATCTGAGGGATAATTAGGTGTCATTTTTCTTTATTTTCCAATGGATTAATTACTGCAAATTTTACAGTCCGCATTTTTTAGTGAAAGCATTTCATTTCTTTAAATGAATTACCATTATTTTTAATTTGGCAATTTTTTCCTCTTGGATTAATTTTAACTTGGCCATTTTTTCCTTGTGGTAATTAAAAGAACTTAACATTGAATTTTTATTTCCTGATAATTTAATACATGAGTGGTTTTTTTAAGTTACTTTTTCTTGTATGCAAATATATATAGTTAATTCTCTACAGATTGTCTACATAGATTTAAAATTTTAGAAATTTTATACTATTTCTTATCAGTTCAGTTTAGTATGCTTAGTTAAATTAAAACAACTTTAAAATTTCATAATAAGAAACACGAATCAGAAAAAGAGAAATTGACAGATTTTCCATTCTAATGATTGTTTTTATTTTTGCCTTCATATCTGGTTTCTTTGCATCAAAACTATTTGCAGTTTTCCTTTAAACTTTATAACGATTTACTTTATGTATTTTGCATTTGGAAAATTCTGCGAATGTTTTAATAATTTCATTTAATGCTTCATTGCTCAAAATTGTTTTTCTTCTTGCCTCATAAATTTGCCTTCTTTTCCTCTTATTTCTTTCGTTAAATCGGTTGTATTATAGTATACACAAGGCAATCGAATTAACGATGCAACGAATGTGACGAGAAAAACCTGCTAATGTAGTTTGCCATTTGAAATGCATTCAATCCTTTCATTTGAAAGCAACTACAAATGGATGTTAAAATTGATTGGTTATTAAACTAGACAATGCTGATACAGTGCTTCAGGAATTTTGTACCTATTGATTCCTTGAAAGAAATTATTTGAATTTTGTATCAAGAAAAATATTAGAAAATATCTTTAGCTTTTCATAATATAAATTTAAATATTTCACAGACGTTGGAATGTAACTCTATAGCATTCTGTGGAAGGAAATGAAACTGAAGTTTTGTGTGTCATGTTTAAACTTTAAAAAGAACTACAGATAGTTTTCAAAATTTCTAAATGGTTTGTAAAATAAATAGTGGTTCAGGTTCCAATAATCTTTTGATCATCTGCTATACAATGTCACCTGCTTTCTAATTAATACTCGATTCATTAATGCTAGACGATACTCAAGGAAACTATTGCAACAGTCAAAATCCTAGATTATTTATTATTAATTCTTAAATGTGTAATATTTCTGAAAACATAATATTAATAAACTTGATTTAGATAAATTAGCCCTTAAGTGTATCTTTCCTACAAAAGATAATTTATCGTTGTAGCTAATTTATCTTTCCTACGTGTAAGATAGAGATTTATAAAAGAAATATTTATAGGTCTTTTTTTTTTTTAAATTCACAAGTTTATCGAATTCCACAAGAAATAAGCACGTGAAAGATAGCGTCATTATTAATTATCAGAATTTTCTCGAAACGAAGCAACGCTTGGAATATTTGCTCTAATTTTCTCCCTAAACTAATGAATTATTTAAATTTAATCGGATGATTCTAGTAATAGGCTAATTTAATTCCGAACAAAAGCGTTAAATCAGCTTTAAGCACATTTAACGGGCAATTAGGCGGTAATTAATGAATGGTATATTAATTTAATTTTAGTCAAACAATTAATATCTTTTATTCACTTAGAAGTATTAATTTTCTGAGGAATAATGCTAGAAAGCGGAAAAGACTTCTTGAAAGATATTTGTTTTCGACAAATTACCTTCTAAGAATACTGCATGAAATTATGTGTTTTATAATTTTATCTTTATAGAAGTTAGAGATTTTGGGCTCTGCGAGAACTTTATGTCTTACAATATTCATATTAATTCGTAGTCATTGAAAAGATAATGATAGTGTACTCATCAAAATTAAGTAAAATTTGGGTTAATAAATTGTTTTAAAATACTTCTTGAATGAAAAGTCCTTAGAAATTACAGTTTAGAAAACATTTTAAAGATAAAATTATTACATGGAATAAGAATATAGTCTTATTGAATATAATAAAATATTTTTGAATATATTATTATTCATGTAATTACGTATTATTTTTGAAATAACCAAACATTCAAAATGTTTTAATATTTGAATACTTCAAAACCAAAAGTTATAATGCTAATAAAACTTGAATGGTAACTTGAGTGAAATGGCAACTAATAAGTTTAAATAATGAAGTAATGCAAGAATAGTAAACTAGAAACGTAAAAAATTAAGATAGAATTATGCATCTTAAAGAAATAAAGACGTAAATCGCTGCTTTTTGATTTCCTCGAAAATCTCAAAGGAACTCGTAAAGAATAAGTTGTAGCCATATATTGCCGCCGATAATAATAATTTTTCATGATTTTCAAGATATTGCCCAAAAGGTGGCTAAACGTGTCCTGAATGAAAGTTTCTTTAAATCTTCTGGAATAGTAAAAAAACAAAATGCTTCCACAAAAATTATAAAACTAAAATTCAGTTTTAAGGGGTATCAGCATCCCCTATACTGATAATGTTAAATTGGCCATTTTCGATGTACCTTTTCTCAAATTCTGCTGTAGATACACGCTTGAATTTTTTTGTGTAATTAAAGTATACCTATCTGATTATAATGACATGAACTTTTGAAACTTTTGAATTTTAGAGTAATTTACAGAATATTTTATCTGATCATAATGACATGAGCTTTTGAAACTTTTGAATTTTAGAGTAATTTACATAATATTTTATCTGATCATAATAACATGAGCTTTTGAAACTTTTGAATTTTAGAGTAATTTACAGAATATTTTATCTGATCATAATGACATGAGCTTTTGAAACTTTTGAATTTTAGAGTAATTTACAGAATATTTTATGATTATAATGACATGAGCTTTTGAAACTTGAATTTTTTTAGAGTAATTACAGAATATTTGTTAGGGATAGTAAAATTTAGCACTTTTTCACACAAAAAATTAAAAAAAAATTTTTTTTTCTTAGTTTATCACAAAAAGATCACTTCAGTAAATATTAGGAAATCTAATAAATAAGCCATAAAAAGTTTAGATACCTGTGAGCAGTAGTTCCTGAGAAAAGGTACATCGAGTATTAAAATCACGTTTGGAGAAAAACGCGTTTTTATGTAAAAATTCTCCAAAGCATTCGATGACAAATTAAAACTAGATTTTTTACAGTTCTAATTTTCATAGAGATTAAAGAATGGTATTTTTAGAAAGATAAAAGTGTAGAGAATTTGAAAATGCAAAAAATCCGAAATCACCATTTTTTTAAGATTTCTGGGTTCCAACAACCCTTAAAGAGATTACAACGAGATCCTAATCTGTTATCACAGCTTATAAAAACCTGTTCAACAAAGCAGTTCAACAATCACAAGTGACGGAGTGGAATTTGAGATGTAAAAATGCTACAATAATTAGTTTTTACTGAAATGAATTTACTGAAATGAGCTTTTTGTGATAAACTAAGAAAAAAAATTATTTTAATTTTTTGTGTGAAAAAGTGCTAAATTTTACTGTGCCTAACAAAATATTCTGTAAATTACTCTAAAATTCAAAAGTTTCAAAAGCTCATGTCATTATAATCAGATAAAATATTCTGTAAATTACTCTAAAATTCAAAAGTTTCAAAAGATCATTATTGATCAGATAAAAATTCTGTAAATTCTAAAATTCAAAGTTTCAAAAGATGTCATTATGATCAGATAAAATATTCTGTAAATTACTCTAAAATTCAAAGTTTCAAAAGCTCATGTCATTATGATCAGATAAAATATTCTGTAAATTACTCTAAAATTCAAAAGTTATAATTAGTTGGTTCACATTCATTTATAAAGTCATGAATATTTCCTGTAGCATGGATAAAAATAATAGTGGTTTATGAGGTGAATTTTTTAGTTTTCTTTGCGAGCTATAACTATACTGTTTTATAAACAGATATTACAGTATTAGAGTTACCCTTTGATTGTTATAGATTTTGTGTACAGATAATAAACGTATAAAGGAAAACTTACGTGTTGAGTTCCAGGTCAAGTCGAAATTTGTAATTGAAGGCCTTCACAAGCAAAGAAGTTGAGTGATAATGCTTTCCAGTCTGAAATATAAAAATCAGCTCTAAATGAATTAATAGCATGCCATATTTCGATGTCATTATATTATTTCCATGTCATGCCATATTTCGATGTCAAGTAGTCAAAAATTAATTTGTGTTCATAATACTTCTTAGAATTCATGATATCATGCATATTTCTACGTAAAATCTACAAATAATGACCCATGTTAACGAGGTAATTTACTTTCAGTAGCTTTCAGTGGAAATATATGTAAGCATGGTCATATAATTACTTTCTACAGTTTCAACGAAACTAAAGAAAGACGATCAAGAACAAAATCCAATAAGCAATGATTAAGTAGTAAATGAAGAAGTGCAGAAAAAGCCTTTCTTATTTAAATTACGTTTTACAGGAAACATAAATTCATATTAGCATCGTCACATTTGGAAAATCGGTTTATATTTTTATTTCATATTAAATTAATTGTTCTGTAATTTTAAACAAGAATGTATAGCCATGTATTCAGTTTTAGGGTTCATATTTATAAAATATAAGAAAGAGGTAGGTTGTATACTTCGCTTCATGTGTAAAATTATTAATTGATAATAAAAGTACTTTTTATGACTTTAGACTGAGTATTCCTTCATTTAAATGCTATTCGATGTAACGTTTATCGCAAAAAATAATAAAGCGTGAGTCGAAATGATTCTCGAGAGTGGTTTATTTCAAGCAATACTAGATGAGCAAAAAATGTATGAACTGAATGACTTATTATATCAGTTCATAAAATTTGGTCCATAACTATTTGACATGAGCATTATTTGTCTGATGGCAAACAGCTACGTGGTGGTCTAACACTTGCTGTGCTCTTGTCAGCAAGTTTTGCGCAGTTTTATATATGGATATGGAGAAATGTGGTGGACACCCATTGTTTAATCATTGGCAATGCGGGTATTGTCTAGCCACACTAGATATCCAGATAAATTACACCCCACAGGACTTACAGGGGATCCTGCCAGGCGTTGCTTGCAATGCCTTGTATTTTACCAGACCGCGAGCAGTGCCTTTCTTTTCCCCTTAAATATACATTGGTGATTTTACAGTTGGTGCCTTTCGCACTTGTATGCTATGGAGGGCAACTTCAGGTCTGCTTGCATACTATGTTTTAAATAATAGCTTTGTTATATTATTCTAGGTTGTGCTGCATAACTCAGTGCCTCTTGTGGACAGGAAGTTCATTATAATTATGATTTTTTTCGGAGATGAATGTTCTTGATAGCGTATCTAATAAAGGGAGTCACTTCACCCTCTGAATTCGGGACTTTTAGATGATGTTCAGCTGTAAGGGGGCATTTGAATAATGGTCGGGACTGCCTCTTTCTCCACATGCACATTGATCTGAGGTTGCTAGTTTCCTTGCATAGAAGTAGAAGTGAGAAAAGGGCCATGCCCTGATAAGAACCACCGTTATTTCTCTAGTTATTAAACTGGGAGCTGTGCCTACTTTTGGGAACGACTGATAAATCCTTCTTCCTTGTTCGGCGTTGTTTCACCAGTTCTGCCATTCAGATTTAGATTTGATGGTTATGATTTTTTAAGGTGTGAGCCAGGCCATGGTACTGATAAATTTTGTGCATTTTGATCCCTAGCTGCTTCTTTGGCTAGATGTCAGCCTCCTCGTTGCCTTTTGTCCCTGCATGTGCCTTCAGCCAAGTGATAAAGAAGTGTTGATTTGTGATGCTAAAGTTCTTTCTGTAGCAGTTTTATATAGGCAACAACCTTGTGCCTGGATAAGCTGGTTTATAAAACTGGCATATGCATCTAAAGGAAGGAGTACTCAAGTTTTTAAGTCGTGCGATTGTGTCCAGATTTTAAAACTGGGCCATTTGAAAATGATGGGTCCAGTTTGCAATATCTTGCAAAACGCCCAGTTCACTATCATCATGGACATCGTTGGTGTATGTCTGGCATGAGAAACATACATTTGTAAACTGCAGGAGATTTTCTTTACAGGTTCAACTTTTTACTCGTCATAACACGAGACGTTGGGAATTACCCTATTGTTTGAAATTGTTCTTATCGTTAGCTTTACTTGGATGGAGAATCAATTATAAATATGCTCTGGCAAGCCAAAACTGCAGTGCATAATATGTTTTTTTTTAGAGTGTCATCAGTTTTTATTGCATGGTTTGATTACATTCAAAGAGTTAGAGTTGTGAAGTATGACTTAAAATGCTTTTGGACTTGCTGTTTTTTCATGCAAAACATCTCTTTTTGCTTGAAGTTTTGAAGTTTCAAAGCTAGATAGATCTTCCAATGAATTTCGCACACGCTGTCTATTTTATTAACTTTGCAAGAAGTACAGTTCTAATAGCATGCTAAGTAAATAAAATTAAATTCAGTGCATTTTGAAATGAAATAAACGCAACTATAATGAACGCTAAGGATGAATTGCAAATCTAAATCCATCCTAGCATGTTCGATTGCTTAATAAACAATCTCATACAACTTTTAATAAATTAATCATAAACAGGTGTTTAATTAAAGAATAAGTTATGCGAAGTATTCATAACATTCTACCAAAATCATTCTTCCAGGCATGCATATATGTTTAATCATATTTGGAATTTTGGAAACTTGGAACAGATCTGCATAAAGAATTAAAGCATAATCAATTTGCTATTCACATGCAGATCATTCTTAATGAAGCAAGCAGAAATATGTTCAAAGTTTGAAATAAAATATTTCAATCCTACCTCTCTTGCCTGAATTGCAGCATTAATATGTATAATTATTTTATTTTATCGGTCGTCTGAACAGATAGAGAATTAAATAATACAATTTCTTAATTAAGAATCAAGATATTATTAGAAAGAAGAAAGTTATTGCGATTTGACTTATTAGTTTTAGAGTAAATGGCGGAATATTTCCATTTCACGAATATAAGCACAGAAGTTCATAAATTATTCATCAAATTCACTATTTTTTATTTAAAATTTATAATTAATTTATCAGAATTATAAAAATATTTCTTTCAATGCTTTATAATTTTAATTTATTAATTTTGCACATTTTAAATGTTAAAAACTTTTTTCACTAAATTATAATTAGAGAAAATATCGCTAAGCTTACAGATATTGAAATTATTAAACAGCATCTCACTACTGAACTGTGATGCCATTTGGGATGTGATAATCTTTGAGATAAAACATTTACGAAATTAATAAGAAAGCATGTATTAGCCATCGATCACAATTTGTTTTTTTGACACTTAATTAATTCCTTTTATATAGTATTTTATATTACTTTTTCTTATACCGATACTGTTCTAAAACTTTACATTTTTCTCGACATTTATGATTTTTAATGTATTGTAATTCAATAGTTATTTTACATATACATATTTATATATGCATGCCGTATGAAAGACATTGTAATTTAGCTTTTAAAAAATTTCTGCATGCATGACCTATACATTTAGTGCAAATTACATGTTTTAAAGTCTATGTCTAAAGAATTAGCGGAAGAAAATTGATTTCTATTTTACGTACGTTGTTAAAAATTCTCCGATTATAATTCAGATGTTGCGGTCTTCAATTAAAAACTAATTTTTCTTGTTAAAATGAATAAACTAACTAGAAATTAAGGAAACAATTTTAAATATTTATTTTTTTGAAAAACTGAAAATTGTGTAAACTTTTTTAAGGACCCTTCATAAGAAACTATCATTCATTGCACACAGGGAAAAACAAACAAAATACTTACAAATAAATTTTCTGCTTGGATAGTATTCATATACAGATCGGGGACAGAATCATTATTCGGAATAAGATTAAAAAGTCTCTTTTTGATGACTACCTGTGCATGCTGCAGCTTTATCTCATGCTCAACACGTGCTTTAATTAAAGCCTGATGTAGTTTTGTGCTGCTTATATTTTAACCATTTAACTTTATTTTATTGCTATTGTAATTGTTTTAAACCCGGAGAAGTAAAGGTAATCAAAATAAGATTAAGAAGTGTGTTATATAAAATGTTTGGAAAAAAATTACAGGCTTTATTTTCTTAAATACTAACCCTAGGCACATATTTTATTATAAAATTTCTGAGAATAAGGAAAATTTTATGGAAAAGTAATACCATGGAATGAAATTAATGGAAATTTAATTTTATGTAGTGAAAAGTTTAAATGTTTTTCATAAAATTCTCAGCTTACTTGTGAGTACTTCTGGAAGTACACGTCCAAGATAAATATTTAAAAGAATAAAGCATATACGCCATCTTCTATCAAATATCTTGTGTTGGAGGTAATAAGAAACGTTTAATAAAAAGTTGATAATACAACATAAGTATCATCTCGTTATGACATGTGCAATCATTTTAAGTTCACAACATAAAGAATCTTCAGAATCCATTTTTATTACCTTATTCGCACTAGCATCTCTGGTCAGCACACCCAACTTCTGGTGCTGTCTCACCTGTACAGGGTAGATGACTTCGTAATACCTGGAGGGGATATTGGCAATGAAGCGTTCATTTTCGGGGTACAGTCTCTTTAGTCTCTCTGCCTCCGCTGGTATAGCGTGCAGTTTCAGGCCAGCAGTTGGAAAGAAAAGGAAAAAAGAAAGTGGACACACACTGGATATCATAACTGTACGATAAAGGTTATTTCATTCATGAAATAAAAAATAATTATCATAATCCACACTAGTATTCTAAATTTAAATTAATGTTTTACAACAAAATAAAGTCATTTACACTCAAATTGTTTCAAATATATATATATCTGTTTTAACTTTAAAGCGTCTATCAGACCACAGAATACTACAAGACAGGAAGTAACTTTTCTTAGAAACCTGCCGATGCCAAGCCGATTTAAAAGATGGATTTCAGACACAACACTTTACTCCTTGGCCGAAAATGGTGTCGTTTGCATTGGGGGTAGCTTAGCCAAGCAGAAACAAGATAAAGGATGACAAAGAATACTTTTCTTCTAATGTGAGCGATAAAGAACCATAAATATTTAGTGCTCGACTAAAACTGATAACTAAACTGCGTAAGAAGAATTCCAAGAAATATTGCTTGCGTCTGATAGCAACTTTGGACTTTCTTTCCGCAGTTAGTCACGTGATCTTTTACAAAAGTTTCTTTTATAGAAATTCATTCACTTCACTACCAAAGGTAGTTTATTTAGAAAATAAAGTTTACTAAATTCTTATTTTCGTTGAAACACCTATATCCTACCGTAAAATTAAAGGAATTTTCATTCTCATTTTATATTTTACGTAATATTATTCTGAAAAAGTAATTTGTTTGTCTAATTTTCTCACTAAATGAATGAAATAAATTTACAAATATAATTTGATTAAAACAAACCTTTCACTAGATGAATTACTTTTATTTTAATAACAGTTGAATTTTGTGGCATAATTTTGTTTTAATCAATATAAATTTTTTTAAAAGAAATTCTGGTAAATTCTGCGCACATTATTTCCAAAGTATAGAACTTCTATACAAGGTTTACCGGTAATGATCAGCCAGTAAACTTAAAAGATAAGCCGGTACAAAAGCCGGTAAAGATCAGCCGGTACATGTTTCACCGGTAAACATCACACATGTTTTTAGCTGCTGCTTGGCTCGTTTCAACGAGTATTTTGCAGCAACTACTAAGAAAACTAACTTTTAAAAGCAAAAATAAGCAACAGATTCTTAAATTTAGGAAAATTAAAACAGGCATTATCTAAATTTAAAAAAATGATCAAAAATAGCATGGACATAATAAATATGACATGGAATCTACTGGAATTCCAAAAGTCACTCCCAGTAGTTAAATTATTCTAGAAGACATTTAGTCTTAGAATAATACTTTTGTAGCATTTTAATTTGGTTAAGATAATGAGGCCTTGAAAATTTCAAAAAAGAAATCAGGGAAAATTCAGACGCAAAAGGCTTCAACTGATTAAAACTCTGGGTGGCCAGGGATTTCGCTAAGAAAGCACAAATTTCCCAAAACTACTATGAGAACCAATTATTTTTTTGATTTTAATGCAAAAACTCTCCTGATATTTTATACCTGGATTTTTTTCTTTTGATATATTGCCTTAATTTCGTTGACATATTTTAATACGCACGTATATAGACGTTCTTACATATATCACAATAAATATTCTAGGCCGTATATATACGACCTTACCACTTAGAGGGTTTTAATGCTATTAAATAATACCTAAAAGAACTATCTGAAAGTAGAACTGCAGTAAGCGCAAGATGTTATGAAACGAAAGCATGAAGTTGTTATTATTTATCTGAAATGGATGTGTCTTTTATCAAGGGATAATAAAAAGCTTCAGATTAAATGGAGTAACAAAATCGCAGTATTTTTCAATGGTATGTAGAATATTACTGTTATGAAAATATTCAAATTTAATATCATTTGACCAGGAGAGTAAACATTGAATAAAATAACAACTTTTATAATAGAATGTGTGTGTAGAAATTTCAGGTTGAGATGATACACAAATGGCACTCTAAGGCACGCTGAGAGGTAGATAAAATCATTCTATTGCATAAGCTGTCATTTTTCGTGCGGTTTTCGAGTATCATGCATCGTTACGCGAACGATCGGATTTTATCTACGGGACTGTAAGCGGAAACTGAGCATCTGCTAAAGCAGGTGCTCGGGAAGTATATTTCACAAGTGCACATTAGCTTAGCCACTGAGGGAGGGGTTTCGAAAGTGGACTAATGAGCTGCTATTGCTCTTGTGACACTAAATCTTTGTGCATGTGAAAGTATATTGTTTACGTTTTAATTTGCATTTGTTTCGCAGTTATAAATATATGGCGTAATAGTAAAAAATCTCCTAGTGCTTTCGTTTTCCGATTTGATTAATCGCTGACATTTAACTTTCGCGAATTTTATCACTCATTAATATTAGGAGTGATGTTCACGGCATATTATGTGGATTAAGAGAATTCAAGTGTATATTTTTTTAATTGAGCTGAGAATGACTGAAAGTGTTACAATGAATCTAGTGTTTTCTTATTTCAGTGTTTGCAATCTTTTGATTTTTAAAGTGTAAGATTCAGAACACATATGATGTAGTTATATCCATTGTTATATTAAAATTATATATGAATAAATTGAATATACTCATTGTGAATACGATAAATTCACTCTATTTGATGAGTATTTCTTGTGTAGACAGTACACTTCAGAGTGAGCATTTATTAAATGTGTAATTTAACGCACTAAATGTATACGAATGCAAAGTAGTAAAGTTCACTTTGAATAAAGTTGTGCATTGGTTATTATTATAGAACATCTTTTTCATACAGACTGCAATAAAAAGTGCTGAATCTATTTACATATATAATTAGTGTAAATATTTTTCTCATACGCATAGTTTTATGTAAAAATTGTATTTGAGCTCAGATGTTTATCACATATTTCTTTCTTCATCTTATTTACCACTTAAGTAAAATTTCCCCTCGATATTTTTGCGAAGTATCCAACATGTGTTTGTATTTATTTCAATTAGGTAGTGAAATCTTCACCATTTCCTATATTTGATCTAACTTCGCAATGAAAGGTTTCAGAAGCAATAGACGATGCTTTAATTATTTTGTACAGAAAATTGCGTGGCAGAATATTTTCAACCACCTTGCTTAAATCTTAAAGCACGCGAAAGGTCATGTGACATGACAGGAATATTACTGGATGCTCATTGGTCCATCCTAGAAGCCACTCCCTCGGTGGCTACACAGATGTGCACTTGTGAAATATGCGCTTGGGAATCATTCTCTGTACCTACTTCAATTAGCCATTCCATTTTAGCCGCAGTCATAGAGATAAAACATATTGCGCTGAATTCCGTGTTCATACTGATGAAATGCTCACAAAGAGTGACTATTTACGTTAGCAGAACTCTTATACCTGTTGCTCAACAATGCCCTATACCACTGGGTGTCCGCCGATAACATCGCGGCAAAAACATCGCGGACGAAAACGTCGCGGAGAAAACAACGCAAGGCGAAAACGTCGTGCTACAAAACATCGTGGGAGAAAACATCGCAGTTTTAAAACATCATGGTATAAAACATCGTCGTCGAAAGTAAAGCGGTTCAAAAACTTCGCAATTTAAAAACATCGTCGCCGAAAATATCGTGATAAAAAATAAAGTATCTATAAATCATCGCATAACGATAACATCGCAGACATGCTTTTTTTCAGGTTTTAATAATTATAAATGGATATTCACATAATGATTTGTGAGCAAAAGGTGTAAAGAAGCATAATTTTTACTTTCACATTTTTTTATTAACTAATAAATTTTTGCTAAAAAAGTAAGAAGGAAACTTAAGCATAGAAAATTAAATGCAACTTATTATACTTTTCATGAAAAATTACCAGTAAAAACTTTATAAAAATGATTTATTAATGGCCTTTGTTAGTTAACTATGTCGGTTTAAAATTCTATTAAGTGCTATAAGTTGCATTAATTTTCTATGTTTAAGTTTCCTTTTTATTTTCTCAGCAAAAATGTATTAATTAATAAAAAATATGAAAGTAAAAATTATCCTTCTTTCCATCTTGCGCTCACAAATTATTATGGGAATATCTATTTACAGTTATTAAAGCCTGACAAAAGCATGTCTGCGATGTTATCGTCATGCGATGATTTGTAGATACTTTATTTTTTACCATGATATTTTCGACGACGATGTTTTTAAATTGCGAAGTTTTTGAACCGCTTTATTTTCGACGACGATGTTTTTTACTACGATGTTTTAGAACTGCGATGTTTTCTCTTTGCGATGTTTTCTCCCACGATGTTTTGTAGCACGATGTTCTCGCCTTGCGTTGTTTTCTCCGCGACGTTTTCGTCCACGATGTTTTTGCCGCGATGTTTTCGGCTGTAACCATACCACTGAGTGCAATGCGCCATTTTTAAATCCACATTCCATTACACGTACAAAAATTTGCTTATTTCCTCTGTCGTGCTTTCACATTTTGGTCAGACATTTTTTAATTACCCTGCATGTCTAGAAATACTGACAAGCTGCATTTAGGTCTACCGGAATAAAACAGATATTGCAATAAAACAATATATACAACTGCTTAGGTTTCTGAATGCTAGTACAAATTTTAACTACACGTTAAATTCTGTAGTCTAAAAAGCAATAAAAGTTTTCGCTTTGTTATCGTATGCGAGTTTTTTTTGAATAGCACTTTTAATTTCCTTCAAGAAATTCTGTTCTTTAAGAAGTAGACTGTGTTCAATTTTATTCTTTTCTATACAAAACTAATGCTTCTTAAAGTTACTTAAAGACACAACTAACGGAGTATTAGTCATTGAATATTTAAACATTCATTCTGTAAGTTAGGCCTCATTTAGATATGGTAATATTAAGAGAGTGTAAAAATGTAGCAGATGTGCAGTTTAATCTCGAAGGAAATTGAAAAGAAAATCCAAATACTAATGAAATGCTTTTTATCCAAAATGGCTAAGAATTTACAGGCTTACTAAACATAAAATGTGCATAAAAACGATAAAACAAATTGATTCTATTCAACAACATACCATTTATATAACGTATTTGCAAACATAACAAATTCCTCAAAGTTCATATTCTAAAATGCAAAATACCAAGCTTCTATTCAAATTTCAGACAAAAGCATTCAAAAGACTTTTCTACTTTTCAGAAACTAAAGTACAAATATGTAGAATGATATAATATTGATCTTTGTAAATGTACAAAAAATTCGAATTTAACTTTTTGCTCAATTTTGCAGTTACCCATTTTTATCAGTCGCAATTAACGCAGAGAATATCCATATAGTGTTATTTTGTAGAACAGGATAATTC